TATATATATATATATATATATATATATATATATATGTAACATAATATCTATTAAGGCTGTTGCCTAGCACACTCAATTAAATTAATCTTTTAAAAATAACAAAAAAAAAAAAGCAAAATGTAAATATGGAATAACCAGTTTAATTATGAGACGCTCAAACGCTATCAGTAGTGGTTATATCACTTAGTTTAGCTGTTTGACCTGACCCACTATATGTTATCGCTAGATCAATTCGTTCTCTCTTTTTAAATTTTTCATTCCTATCTTCTAAATGTTATTTCCGCTTAGCAACTGCAGTAGTGTTTACACACGGAGTTAAATGTAACGATGATCTATGAGTTATAAAGTTTGCAGAAGTTAAACAGGAGAAAAAAAAATAAAGAAAACGGAGAAAGAGGAACAGCACTAAATACGATAAAAAATTAATGATGAAGATCATTTAATTTTCTGCAACAGATTTTTTTTGTTTGTCAACAAAATTTTTCTGACTTTCTGGTATTGCAAGTATCACTTTGCTTGTCGTTATTGCTATCGTCAGGGTTTCTGTTTTTTTTTCAGTTTTTTGCTCTGAACTTGATTTTTAGTCAATCAGTATATAAATTATACATTGCGATATCGATAAGATTTTAGTGGCAGAGAGACAAAGAGTACTTTCTTTATGGTGCTTGTAAGTTTAAAGATAGTATATTGGTCTTTCGGCTGCCTCCTGTAGGATCTGTATATATAAATATTTATATAAATATATATGTTTATTTATCTATTTATTTATTTACTTATTTATTTATTTATTCGTATGTTTGCTTACTTATCTATCGATAGTGCATCCTGTTGCTGCGCGGTCAAGAACGATTGTTATGCTTTTCTGGGAGAAATTAAAAGCAATTTTGAACAATTTTTACAGATTTTGAGTATGGTAAAAAAAATTTAAAAAAAAAAAATTATTGAACATTTTGAACTCTGTTTTTTCTGTTTTTTTTTTTTAAAAACTTCTACATTTTAATATACTTCTTTTTTGATGCAGTATTATTTTCTTTAGCAACACGACAATTTAAGGTTAAAAGTCTGCAATTTTCGTTTTCTTTGTTGTTGCTGTTTCTTTTTTCGATAGCGTACAAAGACAACTTTTTATTTAATGCAGTCTGCTGATTAAAAATTTTTGTTATTTATCAAAAAAATAAATGGCAATAGAAAGTTTAGGTGTTGAGTAAAAATTTAGTTGCTGTATACTGCTAGAAGTATTTGGCATTGGTTATCCTACATTTGGATTTTTTTCTGCTATTCAAACGCTGTTTTGTTGAGTTAGTCGTTGTGTCGATGAAAGAGAGTGGGAGTGAAAAAAATTGAAGTTAAAATCTTTTGTTCCATTTATTCCATTTTTCTTTGAGCAGTGTTGAATTTAAATGTATTATTTTTTTTTTTTTTTATTAATCTTATTGCCATTATTGTTATTGTCAAGGTTATTATTATTATTACTGTTACTATTATTTTTTACCTTTTTGGTTTGTTTGATATTGAAGAATTGTAAAACCACTGTTTTATCTGTCATAATTATTGTAGCTATTGTTGTTTCAGTTTTACATTTTTAGCTTGCTACTGGCCACAATTTTAGACTGCTAAACATGTTGAACGTCCTAAATGTTCTAAAGATTAAACTGTATTGATGTCAACGTTAGTTGTGCTGCATTTATGACTAACAAATCTGGCGGCGAATTACTCAGTATACTAATTGAATAGCTAAACAATGTTGGTTAATTAAGTAAATGCTAAAATATTTAACCAGTGCTTCAACTATAAAGAATGATCTTTAGCTAATTATGATAAGCAAATGAAGTGCGAGAAATAAATTGACCTTTGTGGCACCTTTTTTTACATCGTTAGTTTATTTTCAGGTAACAATGGGTTCTACTGTAATTGACCCATCGGATAAAGTTCTGATCGAAAAACTTCGAATAGCTATTGCAGAGGAATTAAAATTGGTACCAGCATATGACGATGATCTCAGTCTTCTACGATGGATTGTAGGTTGGGATAGAAAAATTGGTTTGTTTATCATCAGTTTAGCTTCTCTTTTTTTTTCTCTCCGTTGCAAGAGGAGGGGCAGGGGAGGTGATTGGAATTAAAAGAGAGAAACGAGTAAAGGATTTTTTACTGTTTTATAACGATGGATCAAACTAAAGTGTAACTCCAAAACGGTGATGTGTGAATTTCACATATGTGCATTTGTACATAAATTTACTTCCTTTTTTTCCTCTTTCGCAATTCAGCTTACAGTTTATCACGTATAAATAAACTGTAGACTTAGTTTTGTTTTTCTATTTTTGTAACAACTCAAGGAAAAAGTGTTTGTTTTAGCAGCTGCTGTTGCAAGTGTTACTAGTGCTAACACTTGACAGAATTGCTGACTGCAGCCTAAGTGAGATCAAAAATTTTAAGAACTATGAAAATATGCAGCAGAAAAAAAAAAAAATTTTTTTTAGCACATCAAAGCAGGAAAAAAAACAGAAGGAAAAGCCTCTTGTAATACTGTTTTTTTTTTTCGATGATTATAGTACAGATTGCAATTGTATATCTATGCTGTTATCTTTCAGATATCATAATTCCAAAGATCAAATTTTCATTACGAGCAATATCAGCATTAGGAATCGATAAAGCAGATTTGAATTCAATTGAAAAAATTACAGATTATTGTGATGCGATCAGTGTACCTCTTCAATATTTGCCTGGTTAGTGCCAAAGAAAAGAAAAAATTTCTTTTTTGTTAAATAGTTTGCAGTCATAGTAAATTCATGTATAAAAAGTTAAAGTTTTATTTGTTCTCTGAACCGGTTAATAGAAGAAGAAAAGTCAGAAACATAACTATAAGAAAAAACTTTCTTTTCTTGCAATTTAAAATCTTTGCATGCAACACATTTAATATTCATAAGGATTTAAATTGCTGAATTTTTATTTTTGCTTTTCTTCTACAAGTTTTTATTAAAACATGTACTTTTCTTCTTAAAAATTGAATCACATAGATTTTTAGTATCTACTGTTAACAACTCCAGGTTCTTTGCTGGGCTATGATAAGGAGAACAATGTCATCTCACTGCAAATGATCGGTCGTTTGGATACGCATGGACTGTTACCGTGTGTCAAGAATTCAGATCTTTACGTACTTCGGATTGCCGAAAGTGAAGGCGTAATGAATTTGATTAGGTATTTCGCACTTTAACAACTTCCTTTTTTTTCATCGCTTATCTTTAAATTTGACGATTATTATGGTAAAATTATGATATGTGACCGGTAAATCACATTTTTTTTTATAGCTGTTTTTTTAGCAGTTTCGTTTTTGTTTAGATAATGTATAAAGGCGTTTTTAGCAGAAATATAATTTTAGAGAAAATGAGAAAAGGTATAATCGCCAATTAGGCACTACAGTTATTATTGACTTAGAAGGACTAAGTACTGATATGCTGCACATGCCAGCAATTAAAGTAATAACTGCAATGCTTAGCCAATTACAGGTTATTGCTTTTACAAAAAACGTCTATATACTTAACTTAAAATCTGTCGATCAATTTTACAGTCACTTTTCAAATTATAATGAATTATAAACAAAGTATTTTCAAAAAAAATTCTTTTAGAAAATGATTTTCTTTTTTTTCTTTAAGCCAGTAAACAACATTTTCAGGAAATGTTCCCAGACGTAATTAGAAGAATTTTAATCATAAACTCGCCATCATTTATTCAGTTTGTATGGTCGCTGTTCAGCCCTTGTTTGGCTAAGCAGACGAAACAAAAAGTGCAATTTCTTGGTTCTGATTGGAAGACAAAATTGAAAGAGTATATCGATGAAAACGTCCTCTATGAAAATTGGGGGGGTACACGACCAAGTGAAACTCCATATGGCCACGTACGAACCGGTGGTAAAGTTCCCCGTGATTTACGGTAATTTTTCAATTACTGAATTTTGTTAAACCATTTTACATCTGTCTATATAATCTTCTATACATTTTTTTTACAATTATTCAGTTTTTTCAGATAAATGTATTTATAATCTAGCAGTTCTAGCTATCACTTCTAGTAGTTTTTTAATTATCTGTGGCTTAACGTACAAATGAATATCTTAAACAGCTAGTTTTAAGCATTTAAGTGAGCAGTATTCCTTTTCAATAACACTATACGTTTTTAAATTTTTATAAATATTTTGCGTTAAGACCATTGTAAGATACTAATTTATAGGTACGATCGTAATAATGATCCACCTCCTGAACAGCTGAAAAAGATTGTAATCACTGCTCGGAGTGTTGGTTTTGTTCCATTTGTAGTAAAAGGTCGGCAAGTTTCAGTATTATGCAATTTAAGATTTAATCAAATTAAACTTATTGCTGTTGAGAAATCTTCTTTTTTGGACACATTTCAATAGCGTTATTCTATAAACTTCCTCTTTTGGAAGTTCAAAGCAAATATACTTATTTTCTCGAAATGATTATTTTTTTTGTGTGTAATTATGGCTGATTAGAGTATGCAATAACAGTTTAAAAATTACAGTTTTTTTCTATTTTTGCAGGTGATTATAATCCAAATCGAAAACTTTATTGGTGGTGGCGGTTGGAAAAAGGGGACATCATCTTCTCATTGACGCGTGCTGCAGATGAAAATTCTACAGTTGCTGAAGATCCAAACGATACAGTCGTTAGACCAAAGTTTAGACTTCAAACCGAGTATGTCCCTGAAGAAGGACAGGTTTGTTTAGTTTCTTGTTGCAATTATTTACTTGCAAAATGTGAATTTATTAATTGAGCTGCTGAATGGAAAATTAGTGAAACTTTGAAATGCCAATAAAAGTTATTTTAGGTTTCATGTGCTTCACCCGGGACATATAAACTAGTGTTTGATAATATGTATGGAAAGTTTTGGTCGAAGACAGTGAATTATTTAATTAAAGTTATCGAGTAGGCTTTACCGCTTTGGAGCTAGTAGTAACCAATTTTAAAGATATTTATGTAACCAACTTAAGCGACATATCTTTGCGCAAGTTCAGTTATAATTTACATGAATTTCTAAGGTTAACAGAGTCATCGATCAGAATAGTAGTTCCGAAATGTAAAAAAATTAGATAGTGCTTATAGAAGAGTCAAAGAAAAATCAGCCAACAAATCAGAATCTCTCAGATGAGTATTTTGTGGTAATTAAATTTTTGCACCAGGAAAAGCATTTAACATAACTAATGGTTTACAAGAGTGATTTTTAAGCGTATTACTTCAGATAAACAATTAAGCAATTTTTTGGTATTATTTAATGCACAAATTTTTGGACACAAAAAAATACTGCTATGATAACTACAAGACAGTAACACTTCATTCCGTCTTACATATCAAAACAAAAACAGTTAGCTCATATCCACTAACTTCTTACTGATTTATCGATATGGTTGGATTCTTGTTTGTTTACTAACAACACAAGAAAAGTACATCTAAAAAATTATTCTATTATTGCTTGTGATCTCAAAATGTTTGTTAATTGTTTTATGGCAAAAAAATATATTTTAAAATTGTTTTAAATATACGGATATGTATAATATTTATTCACTAAAACTGTACGGGGTTATTTCTTTCTTACATTTTCATATCATTCAGAGTAAAATGTTATTAGTGTTACAATTACCAGGTGAAATCTGATTGTAGACAGCAGAAAAAAGTTTATTTGATTATAACTTTAATTTTGATTTCTTTTTGTTTAGAGGGAGGCTGAAAAAGAGGGTTTAGTAGATTTCAGACTATTTTATATTTACCCATCTGTTTAGATAAGCTTTCCTTGCTGTAGTACTTTTTGTTGACAAAAGTTAACTTTATCCGTTCCGTCTAGTGCTAAGTGCTACGCTCTGTAGAAGAATTAGCAGGTTGTGATCGAAAATACGTAGATGACAACGGAACACAGAAGTTAGCTTAGTTTTAAAGACTTTATTTACCAAATTATTGCTATAAAATCTAGTTGACTAAAGAACAGGTAAATCATAGTCGACCGCCGTAGAAGTTACTTCTAGTTATCGTAAAAGTATGTATATATTTAAAACACTAGTGCAGTATAAGTCCAATTTCTTTTTTTTTGGATACATTTGACAGAAGGTTTGATGTCAGAAATACTTGAATTCTAATGAGTATTTGTCTATATATGTATATCTGTCTACACTGTAAAGTGTTATTCCGGTTTAAAAGAATAAATATGTGACTACTGGTGAATGGCACCTTTTTTCAATCTTTATAGCAACGTTAACACACTTAAAAATGTACTTCAGCACAATTAACACTTTCAATTGAAAACCCAAAATTTAAGCGGTACCATAACGTAACATTAGCTGCGGTTTGAAGAAAAAAAAAGACAAAAATAGAAGTTCTATGGAAAAAAAGTACTTCATTTAAATTATTTCAGATAAATATTTTTCTCTTTTTTTATCTTAAAAGAAGAGTTGTGAGAAAACAATAATAGCAGAAGAAATTACTCAATTTTTTTAGACTGATATTTGAGTCGCTCATTTTTGACAACTTGCTGCTAAAAAAACCTTTCATTTGTAAAATCAAAAGAATTTAGATGCTAAATAGTCTACGACAGATTAAGCACCAATGATATCTTCCATTTTGACAAAAAACTTCCGCCACTTTTTTGCTGACACATATCCGTTGACCATTGTGGTTTTTGTCTGAATGTTTTTTTAATAGATTTTGCACTTTAACTTCTCAAATTTGCTATTAAAAAAAAAACACACTTATTACTGTCATAAAAGAAAAATATCTTTATTTTTTTCTAAATGTCTTTTTTTTCCACCTACTTATTTTCTTATATGCTATATATTTTGCGCTCCCAAAACTACGTAACTTTTTCACTTGTTTACGCAGATTTTTTATTGCCCCAACAAAGGATAAATCAAGATTATACACACTGCAGACAGTGTGCCATAGAAGCGAAAATTAAGATTTTTTTATTCGAATTATTACAAATAATTCTACTTTAAATATGACTTTCTGCCAGACTTCCAGCAAAGCAGTACAGCGTTGATTCTAGAATTAAAAAAGATTTGTTGTCATATTGAACAATTTTGATAATACACTTTTTAGAACCAATATTCAGTCAATATCTTTCGTCACCGAACAAATACCCTTCATATTTGAAGCAGTCAACTTTCTTTATTTCAAAAAAAAAGAAAGAAATTGGCAACAGATAAGAGAAATACAAACAGTTTTGTTACTAAGCATACAGTTCTCTGCGTTAACATTTATGAAGCTTAATTAGAAGTTAAATAAACCTTTAAGAACAGTTGCGTTTTGACATTCCAAATAGTCCACTGACAACAAAAATTCTTGATCAACAACTTATTAACTCTTTTTTTCTGTTAAGTCTTTGGTGGTGTATACATAGACTTAGTGGCTGATCAAAGCTGGGTAAAGTTCTAAGCCCTTTTTTCTATTTGTTCCCCTATTAAACAACAGTATCTGAACCGCACTCACACTATCTATACTTACTGAATGTTTATTGCAAACTGAAAGTCCGTTCTAATGCTAACGTGAATTATGTATCATATTGTCGAAGTCTTATCAATCCCACAAGTCCTTTCTTCCTTCCTTTTTCTTTTATAAATTAATTTCCACAGTTTTTTTATGCCTTCCTCAGCCATCCTTCTTAATTTTAAGACAAAAAAGGATACCAGCCACGTTGGTCAAATAGATGTGAATTAGTTTTTAAAAGTGCTTACATAATAGTCCACTTAATAATCTAATTAAATTTGATCAATCAACAAGTGTCAACATAAGAACCCTCAAAAACAAAAACGTAAGGTCCAGTTACTTGTTGATGTCATCCTCGACATCTGAAGAGCAATGATTACAGCAACAATAAATAAGTTTTGAAAGCGAAAAACGCAGATTTAAATTTGACGACTTGGTTCACAAATTAATGCAGAAGTTTTGCATACAAAAAAATTTACTTCTATCTGTCTAGAGCTCGTTGGCATTTTCATCAAAGTTGAAAAGTTAACCTTGCAAAGAAAAAGTCAACCATGAATTAAACACCTCGTACCTTTGCTTATCTAGTATGATCCAAAACAGACGTGTCGAAATTAAATGATTAGAAAAAGATCGTCAATTGAACTGGCTAAACGTCGATGTTATAATCATAGTCTCCCGCCTGAACCAAAATAGGACTACACAGCATAAGCCCTATAACAGTTATCCTACCTCCTTAACTTACTAAGCGACATATAAAAGAGAAAATACTGTCAGTCCCTAACAAAAATATAACTAATTAACCAGTAAAAAAGCAGGCCTTCCAGTACTATACAGAAGTTGCTGATAAGAAATGAAAGTTGCATGCTACGATGAAACTACCAGTTTTAAATCATTTTCGAACTCTATTTTATCAGCCATTTCACGATCAGTGTAAACATCGAATAATCCCAAAATAAGGCAGTTATGTGGAACACTAAATACCTAACGCAGTTCAAAATTGTGGCCACAAATACTTCACAGTTATACCATATAAAATAAAAAAAATTCAAACAACTTATGTAATACGAGCAAACAGTGGTGCTAAAAAGTGATATTTCCCAAACTGGGAGAAAAAAATTGGCAAAGACATGATAAAAACAGTAAAAACATTCCCCAGCAAGATCACTTTCTAGCAAACTAATTATAACATCACAGGAACATATTTTACATGTAATACTCAGCTGTAAAAAATTGAGAAAAGAAGACCAGTCTCATCATTAGATATCAAGATTCAACACAGACAGGTAAACAAACAAATCAAAGAATAAAAGAAATAAGGAACAAGACTGAAGTCTACAGCAATAAAGCTTAAATGGTCTATGGAAATAATACAGCCTGTTATGGAATGTCATCTTGCGTTTACTGAACAACAAAATAGATGCTTTTTACTGCTAACCCGAAGTGAAGATTATAATCTTAACAAAGTTGATAAGTAGAGACAAAATAAGGTCAAATAAACCTGTACGAGTTCGAAATTAGTAACGAAGTACCTAGTGAATGAGTAAGCAAAACAGGTCCAGAAGAATTTCTAGAGAAAGTAACAAAAAAGTGAAGATAAAACAGCAAGAACGTGCTACATTCCACTTTAAAAGATCAAACAAATTGTAACAAAAAGTAACTAGATCTGACAACGAGTAAGTTAACAACAACATTAAGGACAGTTAGATTTGGTACAGAAGTAAAAAAGTAAAACAAAATGAGATCATTTGAAAAATAAAAAAAAAAATTGTTTTTTAGATGAGGAATCTACTGTACTAGTAAAAACCTAATATACAAGTAACTGCTGATTTGAGCGTAGTAATGCTTATTCCAGATCCGTCTGTATTTATCACTGTAACAACAAATGCCGCAAAAAGTACTAGGTTACTACAGATAGTCGTTTCTCCCTTAGCTTTAAACGATGCAGTCAATAGATCACCTCAGCGCTCAACGCAACTGTTAAGATGAAAAAATTGCACAAAAAAAAGTTATATTTTGGAACTACGAAACAAAAAAAAATGCAGAAACAATCACAGAACTGTTCAACTGTTAACATCTCAAATAAATTTGCTGACCAAGTTAAGAAACCACCACATTCAGTGAATGATGGACCTGTAGACGTAGGATTAATTCTCAGTGAAGAAAATCAGCGTTAAAGGTAGAAGTCTAATATACAAAGACAGTCAGCTATGACAACAAATATATCATAGTAAATACCTTACTTTGTTACCTACAGTTGTTCACAGTAATCGATTTGTACTCTTCACAATAAACGACTGCGTGAAAGAGCGTTTTAAAGAATAGAAACAATCAAATTCTTTTAGTAGTTTTTACTGTCAACGAGTTACGGCGTAACCTTCCAGAATTTGAATCATTTTCCTCCATTTCTTTTCCAAAAAAGTGGCACTCTTGCATTTCTCTATTATTATCATCTTCACTAGTTGCTGAGGTATTTTTTTTGCATCTACCACAATTAAAACAAGTAAAGCCATCAGTATTTTTGAGAAACGTTACTGCATCCTAAAAACATACTAAATTAGTGCAAAAATAACCGACAATTGGTTAAATAATCAATTTGATAACAAGACTTTAATCATTCACTTTGAATGAGAAAATGCAATATCGAACCGTACCTGTAAAGTGTCTGGCAATGGCTTGTCACGAGTTTCAGGAAGAAAGACGACCAAAATTGTACCAAAAAGTGAAACTATTGTAAAAAACACCAAGGGTATTACAGACGATGCAATGCCTGACAGTACTGGCACATAATACGAGAAAACAGAGCCAAAACGAGGAACCTAAAATAAAATTAAATCAGAATAACTCTACTGAATGAATCTAACCAGGAATTTCCTCTTTCAAGTTAACATCATTAAAATGGTGCCAAATAAATCTGTCAAACTAGCTCCTTCAGAACGCTCCTTCAAATACATTAATACCCATAATCTTAAATTTAATTAAAACCCCTCTCTAGCGTATAACACTATAGGCGCAATAAGTAATATCAAAAAAAAGTCCAACTCCTTACCATTGAGTTAACACCAACTGCACCTCCTCGAACGACAGTCGGGTACAATTCCGATGTAAATATATACAGTATGTTGAAAGAACCTTGAATACACATTTTGCCAACAAGGAGACAGATAAGGGCGACCTAAAATTGTGAAGGTTTAAAGGCGTTACAAACCTCCTAATTTTTGGAAAAATCTTTATGAATATCCAACCCAGTATGTCCGCTTTATCAGCCATCATGAAACAATTAAGAAATATTGCTCATTATCTTTCGGTGACAATATAACCTACCAGATTGTATTTCTGAAGCATCGCACCCATCGCACTAACCATAAATATAGCGGCACCACCCAACATGATCATTTCGGAGCTAAAAAGTCACTGTCGGCGTTCACTCACAGATCTACCACCAGTGCACTTGAGAGCTTTAAAATGTTTCAAAAAACTTTTTAATTAGTATAGTGAGTCTAAGCCTACCTTCTCCGACCAAATCTAAGCAGATAAATACTTGCAAGTACTGCAGGCACTTCAGAAATGGCTGTAATGGCATTACTTACAAAGAAGTTACCACCAAATAAATACTGGCCGGGACCCGATTCATCTGATAAAACTAAAAAATTTCGACTAAATTAATGAAGAAAACGCTAGCAAATGCTAAAATTCAAAACCACTTCTGAAACCTGCGATTAGACTGTAATACACCACAGTAGTAATCAACCAAATGGCGTATATAATAACCGTCCTCAGAAATAGTACCCGTGATTTGAAGATGCTAAACATACTAGCGCGTTGATTACGTTTCACCCAACTATGCTGTTCAGAATGTTTTACCAGTTCCAGATCACATGGTAAAGCGGAGCGGTTAAACTTGAACATACTGAACAACAGTGGAGGTTCTCTAAAAAACGTCGAACGTTAACAGCCAAGAAATAACGTTACGCAGTCACGAAAGATGAAAAAAAAGAAGAGCATCAAAACTCGACAACTAGAATACGATGAGACCTGCAAGCGTGGCGTATGCTTCGTTCTGCTTCCTCAACCCTATTATTGGCAATCAACCACCGAGGGCTTTCTGGAAGCAAACATATGAGCAGTGCCGCAATGACATGAGCGAAGGCAGTTATCATCTGCAATGAATTTCCAAAAACAGATGTGTCTATACAGAACTGTTGATGAACCCTAAGCCTGTGCACGAAGTAATTTTCAACAGTGGTTTATCAATGGCAACCAAGTTTTGTTCTTGTCATGATGCTACTGCCCAAATCTTTTCTCATCATAAGAAAAGGGCAAATTCTGTGTAGACTAATGCCGCAGTTTCTAAGTAGAAAAACTGTCGAAGTTTTTGTCACCTTAATTCTCGAATTCTCACACCTTTTCGAATTGCGGAGCAAGCTGGAAACTAACAGTCATTTGCCGCACTACATAGAAGAATTTGCTCACAGTGCCCAAACTTATATAACCAAATGTTTTTTGCCCCCAACCTTACTTTTTCACTACTAACTACGAGCGGATCTATTTGCCTGGGCTCTGTTAAACCCAAAAGTGACAAGTTTTTTGAAGCATCCCTCAGTACAAAGCAGAAGAGATAATTACTTGAGGTTCACTAATTACTTTTAGAAGAGGAGGACTACTGGAAAGCCAGTAATAGGTTCACGTGATCATTACAAAAACGGTAAGTATCGAAAAAGGAGGTACACACTGAAGATCAAATGAGTTAGTTCCGATTTAGGCCGAAGAACTCTCCATAAGTTTGCTATTTTTAGGAAATGCGGTCATTTTCGAATACGCCCCTCACAATGTGTTTCAGTCACTGTCAAGATAGAAAACAGCATTTACAGGAAAGAAAAACAGCATCTTTCAAACGAATGTCTAGTTTTCTCAGTCTCGAGTCAAAATGATATCATGCACAGCAACATTAGTGTCGAAAAATCTGTTCTTTACTAATTAGCTTTTTCTATCACTACTAAACCTCGTTAAAATTAATTCCAGTAATTTTTAGGAAAATCAACGTCGCAGAATAATTCAATAGACTTTGAAAATCTGCTAAGAAATCTGGAACCCCTGCTTGCTTTTGGCTAAAACAAGAAAGAAACTTGATCTTAAAAGAGCTCCTAAATTGTAGTGAATCAGCAATAGAAACGCTTCACAAGCGACCTCACAAATCTTTTCATTCATTACCTCTAATTTCGTACCTGGATTTTGTGCCAAGATTTATAAGTGTAGGCAACAAGAGTAACAACAATATATCCCAGCGCCCATGGAATTTGAAGAAGACTACCAAGTAATCCCCGGTAACGAATACCTGAAACAAACCGATTCAATAGAAAAAACCATACTGAAGTAGAAGCATTAAATTCGAGCAAAACCTGCAACTTCAATACATAGAACGTAAGCAGCAAGATCGGCAGCTTCATTACATATAGCGCCTAGAAAGCGAAGAAGCAAAAATACGGAAAAGTGGGTAATATAAGGTAAAAGCATTCCGAGCAACGCTGACAGAATAGAAAAGCCAAGTACTGTAGACTTCCGTCCATATCTGAAAGTAAATGGAAGGTTGTTGAGTACAGCTAAACAATCTATCAATACTAGAGATATCTATGTAATTAGGGTTAAAAGACTAGTGTCATAAATGCCTAGTTCAAGTTTTAAAAAAGTATCTTCACACTAACCTATCAGAGACAAAGCCACCTATTAGACAACCGAGAAGAAACCCAAACGCACAGAACAGATGTGCATGAGCTCGTTTATAATCTTCTCCACAAACGAGATTCCATTCCGTTACTACAGTACTTTCCATCACCTAGAATTTACCTTGTGAGTAGATCTTTTAAGGGCACAGAGGGAACAAAGCTTGTCGCATCAGTGAGTAATTCGCTTCAAAGCAGAAGCATTTGCAAAATAAAACTTACGTCAGTTGCATATTCCCACCGGTGGCACGCAACACTTTCAGCACTTTCGTTTGCTACTGCTGCCATCGCTTTGGTGAATTTCATTCTACGAAGCTCCTCGTACCGTTTTATTGTTCGATTATAGTATCGGCACTGTAAATGGAATGACCAGTAAAAATCATCGTCACATAAGTTTTAGTAAGTTAAAATTAGAATTTCTTCAAAAATGTTGCAGGAGAAATTTATTTATGAAAATTTTTTGGAGTAACCAAATGCTGTAAAAGTAATTCCACTATATACCAACTCGACCTGATCATATGAGTCCTCTGTCCGGTCACTCTTTACTATTGGAAATATCATACCAGTATCAGTACTATCTTTCGGTAACCACTTATACACTTTTGTACCCTCAACTGTACCGTTAAAACCTGGTACCTGCAATATAATCAGTATAACAACTACCTACTCGATAGAGAAAACTAAGAAAGCTGTAATGACAACTCAGTTCTTCTGATGCAGTTTTTAAATCCGCTAAACAAGTGGTTGTAAATTGAAAATTTTGAAATTAGACTACTACAACACCAGTGGCAACAATATTTTTTAATTTAAGGTAGATACCCCACAATTCTCCGTAATAATAATTTATTGAAGAAAAAGTGTAGGTCAGGTGGTTTTGTTGACCACTCATTAATAACAAAAGATGAGCGAAGAGAATTAGATTGACTGCGAAACGAAAAATAAAGATAGGAAAAAGGAGCCAGAGCTATTGCGAAGACCAGTATTAGAAAAGAAAAGAACCTATCCTCTACAAAAAAAAAAATTGAGTAGTTTTAACAGATACAGCGAGGCATACAATTATCTTCAATAATCGTCTTACGATATTCAAAGAAATTGGCAATAGACTATGGTTAATAAATGATTGATGGTGCCTGGTCGAGACCTACCTGACACCAATGGTCGGGTTGATACATTGTGAAAGCAATACTTAAATCAAACATTGCATGGGGAACTCGCTGTATGCTTATCAACAGGTACACCCAAAGCTGCCACCAGGTGCAGCCTCCAATAATGCTCAATATACCTGAAATCATCAAAATCGTACTAAAAGCTCAAAAATGTTGAAAATTACTGGTGCAAATTTCATAAACAGATATAGAGCTTTTAATAATCCACCTTCAAAGTCGATAGGATCAGTACATCGTCGTCGTTGATCGTGACGATACCTTTTTTGTACTTGAGCATGCTGCTCACAAATTTCTCGCGTACTATAAGATTGTTTTGGTGCCGGGTTACTAAAAAATCAACATAAACCGTTAAGTGTTCAACCTGATTCAACTGTCCTTTGAAAGCATCAGACTGTTAATACTGTATGAACATAAGCAGTTCGTTGGATTGCGAACGAGACTAGCAGAGCTTCACAAACAACCCGAAAAGTGCCAGAAACATATTTTATAATTTCCAAGAAATCACTTAAAAATAAGGGGAATAAAGATGTTGTTATTAAAGCTAAAAAAAAAGTTACGTAATATCGGGAGTTGGTGTTGTAAATGACTGTCTACTGCCATCAACATAACAAGATGATATATTTCGAAAGTTGCATAAAGATTCTGATGGTTCGTTCCTGGATATTACTGTCTCGTCTATCAGCGAGGATATCCCACTGTCATTGCCATAATGCTGCAAAAAAGAAAAAAATGATTTTTTTCCAAGCGTTTGCTTATAAAAAGCAAGAAAACAAAGGGCATCTTATGAACATCGGACAGTCATGACTGACATATTTTATCCTGGCTAGCACAGACGCTAAACTACCTAATGCTAGTTCCCAAGAGACTAATTGAATGAAGAGTGAGAAGTTTTTCACTTTTTTCTTAAGAAAACAAGTTAATTTCTTTTTTAGAGACAGTACAAAAGTAAGAGAAAAGTGAAAACGCTAACGTATTTTAAAAACAAAATTACAAAAAATTAAGTAAGAAGAGGAAAAATTAACGACTGTTATTGTTACAGACATCTCTTAAAGTCACTGCTAAAACACTCTTAATTTAAAAAGACCTTGTTAAATTCACTACAAACTTTAAAAAATTCTTCAAATTAAGAAAAGAAATCTCCGAAAAGTTTTCAATTTCAACACGCTCTTTGAATCTTTCAAAAAAATTTAGTTAAACTGTTACACTACTAGTGTCGTAAAACTTTGCTGGTTGCTGGAAACACTATATCTCTCAATTAAGGTATTAAAGTTTTATCAGAAAATTTTCTAGTACATAGATGGGAAAAAAACACGATGAATAAACAGTATACTGAGTTACTTACACAACGTAAATTAGGGTCAGATGCTGCAGAAGACAATTTTCCGCTTTGGTCAAGTTCGCCGGTGTTTCTACGTTCCATAAGCGCAGGTTCACTGTATATCAACGGACTATTTTGATAAGCTGGCTCGTTCAAATCTTCTCTCTAAACAACCAAGAAGAAAGTCTTCTGCCAAATAGTGGAATACAAAAAAAATACAAATAAATATACACTTAGTGAAACATCGGGAAAAAGAATGCATGTAAATATCGGCTCTAGTGAGCTATGTCTTTTTTCCTTCATTTCAAACTGTCTCACTCCTTCCACTCCACGTCATCCGCTCAGTTCAACAGCGTTTTCACCTCAGAGTTTAATCCTTTACTTTCCTCAACCACAAGATTGTCAGCTTTTCATCATAGTTGCCTAATCAGCAATTTCAAATATATTTGGTATTTAATTTATGAAAGTAATTCTAAGAACAGAGACATCTAATAACCTCCAAAAGCAGAAAAAAAATGACGAAACAAGATAAGCGGATGAATTAGAGCGATTTGACAACGAAGAAGAAAAAAGCAAGATGAAATAGAAAACTGACTGACAATATCCGAGCCAGCAACTAAAAGCAACTGTTGCTCAAACACTATTTAGAAGTAGAGCAATAATTAATCTTACTTTTTGACCCACAGTACTATTACCGGCACTTGACGAAGAAGTTGCTTCGCGGTTACTAAACCTTTTGTTACATCGGGTTTCCGATGACCAGGTTGTTACTGTTGATACCATTGATAACAGTAACTGACTGTAACGCTAACTTTATATCACCTGTCAAAGATCTAATTTCTAATGCTCGACACTAAAAATAGGTGTGAAAAATAGATCAGAATGAAAAATAAGTAATTAAACAGAACGAATTATGGTCAATTTCTAGAATACTGCATATATAGTTTTAGTATGACGACATTCGTTGATCAAATTAATTATTTACTACAAGTTAGACTACAAAAACAATGCAACAATTTTTTAGCCATTTTTAAAACCACAGCACAAACTTTTCTTTAGTCAATAAAATCTAACTAATAGAAAAGATTTTGACTACACAACTTCTTTCTTTTACTGCAGTTTTAATTGCACTAAATTAATGTGCTCTTCAAAGTGTTCCCACTAATTGACAATAAGTAATAAGTCAAAAAAGTAAAAAAGCCTTATTCTAAGCAAAAGAAAATAAACCTGTTTTACGCAATATGTTACTCAATAACTGATTTTTTGACAAATGTTTTAATCTAACAATAATTTTGCACCATATTGAAGCACTTTTTGAACTATTAGAACTAATTTGACAAAAACCATATCTACTGAACATAAAATTGATGGAAAAAAAAACAAGTAAAAGAAACAAAAATGACACTTAACTATATTTTCACCAAAATAACAGATATCTGCCAAAAAAATTATACACCACATTCCTTCAGTATCAGTCGTCGAAAACGATGTCATTAAACGCTAAAGAAAAAAGTAGAAAAGCTAAAAATAAGATCCAGAAAAAACCTATCTGTATAAGAAAAAAGAACAGGAAGACTTCTAACAGTATCTTATGTAGCACTTTTGAAACAGCATTAAAATTCGACGAATTAAAAAGTAAATAAGAAATTAAAGCAAAAATTCTGTATTAACGCGAAGGAAAGCAATCAAACAGCAAAAAAAAAATTTTTTCCAGTAGTGCATACCGATGGATATTACTATAATCATTTGCTAAAAATTTTTTTTCCGCTACTATTTAATCAAAAAAAAAAAAAAAAATGCATATAAACCATCATGAGTTTTAATTTTTTCCTGCTTCAGAGTTTTTTTTTTTGTAGTCAATTAGATCATGTTTCAGGCAATAAACTAACTGTTGAAAACATATGATTTTCTGTTGTTAACACTAGTTAAAAGTTTTAAATTATTTTTTCTTTTAATTCTTACACTGACACTTCTTTCCGATTACTTCATCAATAGTTTTAAATCATCAAAACATATGTCTAGATTATCAGCTGATCAATTACAGTGTCATTATACTACCAGTCTGAACAAAAGTAACAAGGAAAAAAACTCAGTATTGTTGTAAGAATACCAGGCAACAACAGTAACAACGAAATTAAAATGCACAAACAGCAAACCCCGACAGAATATATCAGCAGTAATGACAAATGGTTCCCAATGTCATCTTTGTGCAACAGATATTGATGTACCCTTCCCTTCCCTTGCTTCCTTCCAACCCTCCATTCTTCTAGTAAACGAATAAATAAATACAAAATACCTATCGT